AWAAAACGTCGTAACAATYACGCGACGTGACCGTCCAGTTGACTGGGAATTTCTTCAAGCGGTTGACTCACTAACAATATGCCACACCCTAGAGATCTTTTTTACCCGTCTCATCGTATAACTATCTATAAATAACGACTTCACTTTACGTTCACGACAAAAATCGTGTTGTGTAAAAGGTTCACCGAAAGTTGCATACGACTCGCAACTTTCCGTGGAACAATCGGCACGGTATGATTTTGTATGAGTTCAAAATGTCCCGTGTCAACGTTTCCATACGACAAGWTATTTCGACAACTATTCAGACACAGTTATAAACAAAGAAATTAATATTAAAGAAAAGTTCTGGCAACCAGAATTGGGCACAGAAAGAGAAGAGGTTAGCATAGTGAATTGGCAATACATTAACAAGAGTACAACAATCTACTTACTAAGTATTACATACGAGTAAAAACATCAATCCCAAACAAAACCCTTTTATTTAAATTCAGCAGACCTAATTTACACCATTAATCAACTCCAAGAAGCTGCTTTTAACGCAAAACTATAATCAAGTATAAATCAAGAAAACAAATTTGATTAATTTACTACAGATACCTGTGCCACCGTAAAGCATTATTTCTCATATTAAAAGTAATAGTTACACAATGCACATAAATAAATAATACTATATTTAGCTTTAAATGCAATTAACGAATCTTTTCAATAAATTATAGCGTTATATATTAGTAGACATATGACTGCATGGTTGTATGAGTGTCTTTGAATTTGTTTACTCCTTCAAATCGCCATTGGATTCCACCTGACATTCAAACACATCAATCAATATTTAGCTGTTAGAAAGTGAAAGAAAACTGGAGGCTAGTAGAATAACAATCCTTCAGTAGAAAAGAGRAGAGAAATGGAGTGGGCCAGTACGTGCGGTAAGTGTGGTATAKTGCATTTGAATGTACGCCTATTATATCAAACTTAACGCACATACCGCACTTCATTCACCAAAGTATTCTTCAGTTTTGAAAAATGTGATTTAGTGTAGCGAAGTGTATTTCAACGTTATGTGTAGTACKATGAAATGTGCTGACGCGTTGTCTACTGGTTCACAACCTGAGAAATACCAACACAGTACAAACGCAAAAACAAACGTAAGAAATGGAACTTCCTTTCATTTTATTACACTTGCATTGAGTCTGAATTTTCAATGTGTGAACTAGTGCCACCTGTGTTTGAAACTGTGTGATCGTAGTGATGATCTGGACAGCTCTGCTGGTTTTCTAAATGTGGACGAGGTTTGATGTGATCGAATTTTGTGTGAAGTACAGTAGAATTGAGGAAATTGACACTCTTACAAACGTATTAATAACACAAACTCTTTTTCAACGTCCACATCGCTATTATTACATTTACTTTTCAAGGCAGTCGACACAAGTTCAACAGCAAGTCATTGCCATAGCTCAAGCTGATGATCCAATGAGACCAAGCACGCATTGTTAGGTTTTTAGCACCGAGACCAATACCACAGATTTTATTCTATATTCTAAATAGTACACAATTCCATATTTTACAGAATTCATTGTTTATATAAAACTTGTTTGATTATGTATTATTAAGATGAAAAATTGAACATTTGTGGAAAAGAGAAATACCTGGCAGCCGCATGGATGCACAAGATGAAGCATATTATGCATTATGCATAGTTTGCACAGCCTGTGTATAGACCGAAATTTTCTTTGAGAAAATTTCGGTCTGTACACAGGCTAAGTTTGCATCTAGCTGCATAGATTCTTATAAACCGTTCAATATTAAGTACTATTTCGACTGTTTGCATTGTCAATAGTTAATAATATGGTACATGTAAGCAAAATGTCCATGGTTGAGTGCAAACATGCTAACCAAARAGTGCTAAATAGCGCAATAAAGTGTACATTAGACAACGCATAATTTAGCACTCTTTAATCAACAGCTAACCATGTTTTCCTGAAGTATTTGTACCACATTATATGGTTTATACTTACTGTCCATGAATCCACTAAAATACTATCAAAATACTTTCAAAAGAAATATATTTTCACACATTAGACACTNTGGCAAATGTGAATAATTTTGGGAGTATCAAGTCCCCAAAGCTCAATGATCTCACTCGAAAATTCTGGGAATGGTGTTTAGATAAGAATATTGTTATTAGTGCAGAACACATTCCAGGAGTTACAAATTGTATTGCAGATTCTTTGTCTAGAAAGGATAGACCCATGATCGAATGGTGTCTGAATGACAAGGTTTTGAGATGTGTGTGCGAAATGTTTTTTGAGCCCAACATAGACTTGTTTGCAACACGCTTGAGTGCTAAATTTAGCCTATTCGTGTCTTGGCACCCAGAACCAGGATGCTGTAGTGTAGATGCATTTAATTTGTGCTGGACATCCTACTTATGTTATGCTTTTCCCCCTTTTTGTTTGATTGGCAGAGTGTTGGGGAAACTTCAAGAAGATCAAGTGGACCAATTTTTGTTAATAGCCCCGATGTGGCCAACCCAAACGTGGTATCCAACATTACTGAATCTGTCTGTCAGGAATCCAATCGTGTTGCCTGTCGAGAAGGACTTGGTATATCTTGTGGACAGGCCAGATGTGCACCCTCTACTGCACAAACTTCACTTGACCGCGTGGATGTTATCAGCCAATGTCTCCAGGAGAGAGGCCTTTCTGAGAGAGCAACCCACCTTGTGTGTTCATCATGGTCAAAGGGCACAGAGAAACAATATAATTCAATATGGAAAAAATGGTATAGCTGGTGTGTTAAGGAAAAAATTGATCCACTTCAACCATCTCCAGAGAAACTAGCCAATTTTCTATCACTAGAGTTTCAAGAAAACAAGAGTTACAGTACATTAAACATGTATAGATCAGCTATTTCATCTACAGTTCACTTGTTAAGTGGATTTAAAATTGGAGAACATCCTGTCATTTCAAGATGTTTGAAAGGAATCTTTGTGTCTAAACCTTCCTCTCCTAGATACCAATCTACTTGGGACGTATCAGTGGTAACACATTATCTGTCTTCACAAGGACCCCTTAAGGATCTCAATTAAAGGTGCTAACCCTTAAAACTGCTATGCTTTGTTCGCTGGTTTGCGCTCAACGAGGACAAACACTGTGTTTATTAGATTTGAACTTTAAAACTGAATTGGAAGAGGCAATAAAATTTGTGGTGACAGAGCGTCACAAAACATCCAAACCAGGCAAGCTTTTGACAGTGTTTTTCCCTTCGCTGCCTGGAAATGTGAACTTATGTCCTAAGTCTACCCTCACGGAATATCTTAAACGCACAGAACGTTTGCGTCAGAGAAATGGACATTACACGTCTAAGGTTTTCATCTCATATATAAAACCACATAAAGAYATCTCAACTACAACTCTAGCTAGATGGCTAAGAATGGTATTAGAATATTCTGGTATAGATTCAAGCATATTCAAGGCTCATAGTGTCAGGGGGGCTGCAACGTCTGCTTTATATTCTAGGGGTGCTAGTCTAAATGACATTCTGAAATTAGCTAACTGGTCAAATGAGAAGACATTTCATACTTTCTACAATAGGGCCAATAATTG